ACGTCCTTCTAGGACTTGTCAGTGATGTTACATCATACAGTTGTTAGTCCTTCTAGGACTCGTCAGTGATGCTACATCATACAGCTGTTTCGTCTTTCTAGGACTCGTCAGTGATGTTACATCATACATCTGCTTCGTCCTTCTAGAACTCGTCAGTGATGCTACATCATACAGTTGTTTAGTCCTTCTAGGACTCGTCAGTGATGCTACATCATACATCTGTTTTGTCCTTATAGACCTCGTCAGTGATGCTACATCATACATCTGTTTTGTCCTTCTAGGACTCATCAGTAATGCTACATCATACCACTTCCCCGAGACCGCTGCGGGCGACTGGTTTAGGCGTTTGACTATCTCAATTGTCATCCATCTCTGGGGTCGTGGGTTCGAGACCTACGGAGGCAGTCACAGGTCGTTGATTTTTCACCGGAAACTCCGGCTTTCCCTCATCTAAACCTAGCCCGTCCTAAAGTGACAAAGGCTGTTTATCCGACGTGAAACAACACTACATAAAACTCTATTAGGCCGGTTATCAAAAACTTTTAAGACATTTATCCCGGTTTTACAAATTAGTATCTACAATTATTTGTTGTCACAATCAGGAAAATAATAAAACTGCTAATAAACAGATGTACATGCATTGTACTTACTCTTTCAAGAATATGAAAACTTTGTCATTCATGTCTGTCATTGATCAAGAGGGAGAGGACAGGTGTATCTTTTCAATAAGTTAAACCAACCAAGCTTGCTCTGTATTGAACGTTCAAAATTAGGAGAATTTCTCATTTTCTATTATACCTTACAGGGATAGACAATAGTTTTTCCGTAATTCCGAATATTTTAAAGTGGAAGTATTCTGAGATCCGTCAGAGATAAAAAATCTTTATTATCATGAGATATACAATATGATAAAAGACATTTTTGTCTCTAAACGAATATTTTGTAATTAGATGCTTGATCGCAAACAACTTAATCTACCTCTATAGTCATATTTAATATCAAATAAAAGTCATAAGTTACATGTTCAATCAATTATTAAAATTATCATGAGATGAATATATATATTTTTTGTATAAATATCAAAAAGAAACAAGATAAATTCAATATGAAAGTGTAAACATAGTAATATTTATTTGGAAAAACCATAAATAGTCCTGATAGTGTATTTCCATGACGGTTCTGCCGTCAATACATATTATAAACTCGAATCTAGAGCGGTACCATGGAAGGTCGTTGTCAAAAGCTTATTAACAAATTAAGTCATATGGAGTCGGCCCATGCTGCGCTATTGATCATGAAGGACTTTCTGTTCGGCAAGTCAAATCATTATCAAATATACAGAAAGAACTTTCGAATCTAAATTCGTAAATACATCGTTGATACAATGATGATATAAACGTTGATGAAAACTAAACAGGACCTCACAATATTTTATCTATTTTAATTTATTGTTTTTATATTATTTATTTATATGTATCTATAAGAAAAATAAATTCCGACGTGATACGCCTTAGGAAAAATAGATATAGCTTTTACAAAGCTTCACGTGATTAAAAATAGTTTTTGTCCTTAACTTTTTTCAAAGTTGATTTTTGCTTTGAAATACAGAAGAGAAAATGTGTCTGATTGTGTAGTTAACATAAATGTTTATACCAGTGAATTATATATAGATAATTTTGTATCTTATATAAATAGATTCTAATTGTACTGTTTTCTCTACTAATAAATAACATAAACTTTGTTGTATATTTTGTGAAATTAATCTGGTTTAATGTCTCGCCTATGACGTCATCGTTCCCAATTCTTCCCTGGACCATCGTTGGCTTCTTAAGATAACACTCGAGGCCCCAAGATCGTCTCACTGATTCGCTTTTGACTGCAAAATTCGGATTTTTTTTTAAACGCAGTGTCTTCTGATACAGCAAAACTATACATATTTTGATAAAAACTTTTTTTTTGGAAAATGTTCAGTTTAAATATATTTTTAATCGTGTATCATAAAAAGTACATGTAACTGAACAAATCCACACAGAGAACATACTTCACTTTTCTTCACCGAAATAAATTTACCTGATGGCTGTCACGGTTTCAATTCGCACGTGACCAGATTCCGGTCCTGACGTAACAATTGTTAAAGATTTTTTTCATATTACCGACAGCATTTGTAACTACCTATTGCTTAACAACTCGCTCATCAATATACGTACTTACTAACCTTAATGCTCATATATCTATATATGTACTTTGTGCAGGTACAGGTGATGATTATCAGTCCTTATATTAACAATGTAAAAACATTATCATACACATCTTTAGAACGGGGACGAATCCAATTGAACACACATTATTTTGGAAACTGTAGGTGGCGCCACTTGGGCGTCATTGATAATGCGTACAATGCAATATATTTCCAAGAGAAATAATTCAGATGGTGCTTTTAGATATCTAATTGTGTAATACTACATCTAACGTATTTCTTTATATCTAAACAACATTTTTTTGAAAATCTACAGGAGTAAGAAAACATCGTTTATTTACATACAGTAAAAATGACAACACACTCGTACACTTATGCATTAGTCTATTCGCCGCACTCCTTTATCGATAAATACAAGCAATGTTGTTGGTAAGCTTCATATGGAGAGTGTGTAATACAAACGGATGTATAATATGGTGCTTATCGACATTGAGCCTCATGGATCGAAATACAACGTTACCAATAAGCTAAATTGTTAAAAAATATTGAATAGATTCATGAATAAATGAATGCTTATGTGTGTGATATGAAAATACAAACGAAGATGGATGTCATATGTGATGTTGTAACACATCATTTGAATGGTTGCTAAGCATATTGTCTCGACCGGCAGATTGTCCGAAGTGAAACTAAACACAACTCATCGTTGTGAAATCCTAAGGTTTTATGTTCTTCTCGCCGTGACATCAAACCACAATGATCGCTAGTATTTGGAATACAGTAATAAGAGTCATTATTCGTTTATGTCTCTGTCTTGTTTGCGTAAATTGTCATATGTCCGTGATGATTGATCGTAAACAAATTTAACTAATCTCTCAGGGTCTGAGGATCGCACGAGTATCGATTTGGATAGAAGACATGTTGCAAATAATCTGTTATGGATCTGTATACTTTAATGATATTAGAGTTTTTTTTTTTAAATTATTGAACTATCCGCTCATCCGTGCTTTGATCTGGTTATCTACACAAAACGACAAGGGATTTTCATAATATCATAATTCAAATTTAGAATCATTTAAACAAAGGATAGATAGGAACAATTCATATATTAACATGGATATCTGAAGTACAAATATAATAAGACCAGGCGTTTTGGAAGGGTAAGCGTCATCAGGTTTAACGACGATCCCGTGCAATGTTAATATTTATCAATGAAACTAAGTAAAGTAAGGAAATTAGGTGAGATTAGAATAAGACTACCAACGACATTCATATAAAATCGATTCTTTATACACATTTATTGTACAGTGAATCAGTTGACCTTGCTGTGCAGAAATAGCTTCACTCACTGCTGGCTAGTCTCGGCAGTAATTTGGGGGCAACATGTTTACCTGCACAACAATAATAGCCATCGTACATGGCAGCTCGTGTTGTTACATGTAGAGGTTGCTCTGTGTCATACCACGTTCCCCGTGCACGGTGTCTTGTTATCGCGGTATGCAGTGTTATCATAAGATCAACAGCGATGATAACCCTGGGGATAGGTTCGAAGGGGGATGGATAGAGAGGAGATCCTTGATTGTTGATGAGATAACAAATTAACGTTGATAGAGACAATACGACCGGAATTTTATTCAATTCTGACAATTGACTAAGCTACGAACTTGCCTATCAGGACTTTTGGTGGTATGCATCATGTTTCACTGTAACTATCTTTAAACTTCAAGGCTGTTCCAGTTTCGGCATTAAGAAAGTCTTTATGATAAAAGAGCGCAATGCTATATTGTCGTCTCCGGAATTGGTTTGATACAGAATTGGATGTTTTTAAAAAACTTTTCTGTCTTTGTGAATCCTTTGTGATATAATCGCTCTACAGCACCAAAAAGACGAATCTAACATTGAATCTTAGGGCCGTTATCAGTCACTGTTTGGTCCGTTAACAGAAAGACGTGACATTATAACTTGTACACTTATCATCAATATGATCAAACCATTCCGCGCAGTAATTACAAGAAGTTTCATGCAGTGTTTTATGTGTCAAAATTTGTCATTGCTCCATTGGGTAGTTTGTGTTGCCTCCTTGATGGACCTTTGCGATGGATTGTCGCCATGGTAACTGTGAAGTTGAAGCCTTTGGAGTGTGTAAGTACGAGTCTGATCGGCCTTTAGAACACACACAAAATATCAACCCATTACCACATAATTAACATGGAGGAATCGAGATTGCCTCTCTTGATTGATGACAATGCAGTTGGTTATATACATACAGACATTGCAAGTGGTAAGGAAGCGAACACTGGCATTTGGGAGGTGTCAACTCGTGGACATTTTGAAAATATTTATTGGTGTTCTTTGGGCACTAATAATACCAATCGATGCTAAATGTAAGAAAAGGTGATGATGGCCACACGAAAACTGAAACTCAGGATTTGACGATTTTGTTATTACCGCCATGACTTTTCTTGGTGGAATATGATAGGAGTCACTTGAACATGCCTTTATTGTGGTTCAGTTGGACTGCGGCCATCTTATCTTGCCGCTGTACTATTGTACCCGTGTTCTAGACAACTAATCCCTGCAATAATGGACTGATTACATTACACACATGTGATTCCGCGAGGGGGAACGCACGTCCGTACGGAGAATGAGTTCTCTCATACAGCCGACAGCACCGTCCGATATAGTTTAATTTTAGCTGTCTCCCGGAGGAAATAACATCTTTATGGTGACATGTCTTGTTCAGCTCACGCCTGACAGCACTCTGGGATCGTAATACATGGTTATATATCTGATTAAAACAAACATGGCGTATATGAATTCTACAAACGTGACGTTTTTGGAGAATTCACTGAACTGCCTGCCAATATTATACCCGTATTGGTTTCCCATGTATGGTGTACTTTGTCCTTTGCTTGCCTTTACAACGCTTTGTACCAACATCCTCGTCATTATTGTTTTCACCATGAACCGGATGCGTTCCCCGACGACCATTCTTCTCACGGCTCTCGCAGTGAGTGATATTTTGGCGGCAATTGTCATAACTCCGATGTATGTTTATTTTTACAGCATGGGAAATGTGTTGAATTACCAAGAGGGACTTCCGTATCCCCTGTGTATATACCACAGCATGGCCTACAAAATTACTGCCGTTTTCCACGCGGTGTCAATATGGCTGACAGTGGTACTCGGCATCCAAAGATACATTGTCGTGGCCTACCCGATTCCCGGCAGACGACTATGCTCGCAGAAAAACTCCGTCTTGGTAATAATTCTGGTGTTCATATTGGTCCTAGGTACCTATTCACTGTGGTTCATGGAAGACAGATTCGAGGAGAGAACTCGGATAGATGAAAGTGGTTTGGCGATTCCTTATTGTCTATGTTATCAGGAGGAAGTAATCATGTTTGATTATAGTCTAGAAAAAATGATGAAATTCATCCGCCTTGTGTTCGGACAGTTTTTTCCTTGCATGATACTTTTGTGTGCGACAATAGCGTTGGTCCAGAAACTAGTTGTTGAATCCCACCGGATACTGGATCTACATAAAGAAGAAGACAACGAAATGGAAAGGACTGACTTCCGGTTGATTCGAAGAACTACGGTAATGGTGATTCTCATCGTTATAACGTTTTGTCTAGTAGAAATACCACTTAGTATAGTGTTTCTCATAGATGTTTGTGACGTAAAGATCATTCAACTCGACACGAAATTAGAAATAGCGGTAATATCTAATTTTTGTTTGTTTATCACATACCAGGTAAATTTCTGGATATATGTTTGTCTCAGCAGGCACTTTAGGAACAATTTGAGGAGACTTTTTCGTTTTGGAAAAAAACAATGGAATCAAAATGGTTTGAATTCTGTGAATTCTAAGTCCATCTACTCGCCGCGTATATTGAAGAACAGGCGCGTGTCAACCTTTCATTGATATCAACAGGTATTAAATACATATTTACATTATCATATTGAATATATATTGAAAATATATTTTTTGTCTTTGGAATATCATAAATCAGACTTTAATCCATCTATTGCTTTGTAAACAAAAAATACTTATCTTATAGTGTCTGCAATAAAAAGTGCATGTTTTTTTCTGTCATATTTTGGTTTTTTTTTTCATCACGCACTGATTTTCTTTGTAAATGTCACTATATTACCTGTTTCACACACTGCTGTATATATTGACTTCCTCCTCCATCATCTTATTGCACGTGTAATCCATTGATCAATCGGAGGATAGCTACGCGCCTTTGCAAACACGCCTCTATTTCTGGTGATTTTTTTCTCAACTATTATCCCAGCAATTTCTCGCCTGATGTTCTAGCCCCGTTAACCCAGTGCAAACTATTTAACATCAGCCAACTTACACTAGAAAATTTTACTCACATTTAAAAAAAAAAAAAAAAAATTCTCGCTTCACGCGGAGTTTTTTGAATAGTGCCTCAATATTATTTCCATGTACCCCGATCGCCTGTTGAGTGATTGCGTGTTTGCGTGTAAGGTTTTTAGAAAATACGATATGTAACTTATTAAATGTTAAGTGTAAGGAATGAAACCAGCGGAGACCTTTCTGAACACATGCGTACAATTGATTCGATCGAATTTGGTTTTATTGTTTTTTTTAAATTTTTTTTGTGATTTTTTTTCACAGGGTTATGTGGTTTGTCTCTTCAAATCAAGAAATTTAGGTGAATTGTACGTTGCGTTTAAACAAAAACTTGCTACTATAGTTTTAATCTACGCACGTGTTACAGAGGAGAAAGTATGGGAATTTGATCAAATAATTTAACAATGTTTAGTACTATTTCATCGTGGCATTATTTCGGGTTCAGAGACATGTTTTCCTACACTCCATCTGAGTCATTATTTCTGTACCAGACTTGAAGTCTTCTAACCTTCCACAGGCCGGAGGTTTCGTGATCCTCAATAAGATAAAGCGTTTTTGTGTTGTGTTGTCAATTATACCAGACGGCCTTGTTTCTCAACCGAACGTGAACTCAAATAACAGGCAAGAGAGCCCATGTAGCCGACTGATCAATTCCTGTATGTTATCTACCACACCAGTGGTCCCTTGTGTTATATACCAGACCAGTGGTCTCTTGTGTTCTCTACCAGATCAGTGGTCCCTTGTGTTATCTACCAGATCAGTGGTCCCTTGTGTTCTCTAACAGATCAGTGGTCCCTTGTGTTATCTACCAGACCAGTGGTTCCTTGTGTTCTCTACCAGACCAGTGGTCCCTTGTGTTCTCTACCAGACCAGTGGTCCATTTTGTTATCTACCAGACCAGTGGTCCCCTGTGTTCTCTACCAGACCAGTGGTCCCTTGTGTTCTCTACCAGATCAGTGGTCTCTTGTGTTATCTACCAGATCAGTGGTCCTTGTGTTCTCTACCAGATCAGTGGTCTCTTGTGTTCTCTAACAGATCAATGGTCTCTTGTGTTATCTACCAGATCAGTAGTCCCTTGTGTTCTCTAACAGATCAGTGGTCCTTGTGTTATCTACCAGATCAGTGGTCTCTTGTGTTATCTACCAGATCAGTAGTCCCTTGTATTCTCTAACAGATCAGTGGTCTCTTGTGTTATCTACCAGATCAGTGGTCTCTTGTGTTATCTACCAGATCAGTAGTCCCTTGTGTTATCTACGAGATCAGTGGTCCTTGTGTTATCTACCAGATCAGTAGTCCCTTGTGTTATCTACCAGATCAGTGGTCTCTTGTGTTATCTACCAGATCAGTAGTCCCTTGTGTTATCTACGAGATCAGTGGTCCTTGTGTTATCTACCAGATCAGTAGTCCCTTGTGTTATCTACCAGATCAGTGGTACCTTGTGTTATCTACCAGATCAGTAGTCCCTTGTGTTATCTACCAGATCAGTAGTCCCTTGTGTTATCTACCAGATCAGTGGTCCTTGTGTTATCTACCAGATCAGTAGTCCCTTGTGTTCTCTAACAGATCAGTGGTCCCTTGTGTTATCTACCAGATCAGTGGTCTCTTGTGTTATCTACCAGATCAGTAGTCCCTTGTGTTATCTACCAGATCAGTAGTCCCTTGTGTTATCTACCAGATCAGTGGTCTCTTGTGTTATCTACCAGATCAGTGGTCCCTTGTGTTATCTACCAGATCAGTAGTCCCTTGTGTTATCTACCAGATCAGTAGTCCCTTGTGTTATCTACCAGATCAGTGGTCTCTTGTGTTATCTACGAGATCAGTGGTCCCTGTGTTATCTACGAGATCAGTGGTCCTTGTGTTATCTACCAGATCAGTAGTCCCTTGTGTTATCTACCAGATCAGTGGTCCCTTATGTTCTCTAACAGATCAGTGGTCCCTTGTGTTATCTACCAGACCAGTGGTTCCTTGTGTTCTCTACCAGACCAGTGGTCCCTTGTGTTCTCTACCAGACCAGTGGTCCATTTTGTTATCTACCAGACCAGTGGTCCCCTGTGTTCTCTACCAGACCAGTGGTCCCCTGTGTTCTATACCAGACCAGTGGTCCCTTGTGTTCTCTACCAGATCAGTGGTCCCTTGTGTTATCTGCCAGATCAATGGTCTCTTGTGTTCTCTACCAGATCAGTGGTCCCTTGTGTTATCTACCAGATCAGTGGTCCCTTGTGTTATCTACCAGACCAGTGGTCCCTTGTGTTCTGTACTAGACCTTACCTTACCGACTAGAACGACCTCTACCGGCGACCTTTACTTCCAAGAGTTTAACATGGCGATTGTCTATATCTTACTTTATGTAACTGTATCATTATAAATTATCTATAGACACTAATAAAAACTTCCTGCTAAAGTTTCCAAACGTCAAAATTATAAGTTTAAAACGTGCATTTTGTATCTGATACACTTATTACCATATAATTCAGTCTTGTTCAACCGGCCTCTTGATGTCTTCGTTTGTTATGGAGTAAGGAATCAAAGCGTCTAGTTGGCTGTGTATTGTATGAACCGTAGGGGATGTGTGCACCAAATACACACTAGAAATACCTGTCGGACTCAAATTGCTTCTGTGTAACATATTCATTTATAATTATACATAAAAGAAAACTACTCCAAGTTAACATTTAGGTCGTAATTTACACCTGTATAAATACTCACTTAGCATGTAGCAATAAATAATGTCACATTCTAGGAACTGATCAAAGCATCCCTTCGAGTGCCATTTTGGACGAGTCTAATCACACTTTTACCAAGGGAGGAAAGTGTTGAGAATGTTACTACCAATTTACACCTGTCGATTGTTACAATGTAGAATGACATGAAATATAGGACAGAATTGATTTTTTAACAAAAAGGGGGAAAAAATACACGAAAAGACCTGCGACAATTTACCTGTCCTCGACGCAAAATGGAGGACGATTCGACAAATTCTTGCTTCAACAACGTTGGTACCGTGGTTTAAACAACCCATCATCATTATCCAACACTCATAACAAATATGATGAGTATTTTGAATGATTTAAAACCCAAGACACTTTATTTAAGTCTCATTATTATGCGACAAACCTACCTCCGCATACTCAGTGTTCCCAAAAATAGAACAGTCCTACAGCTAACAGAATTAGTATCATTCTTACAAGGCCTATTGTGAGTACCTGAAAATGTCTGTAGACTAGTATACATCAAATGATGTTTTTGTGACTGTTTTACGATTTTTCTTCAGAAGTGGTACTAAGATCTACGTACTTGTCATAAGCAGATGAAATCAACTGTTACGTTGAGGATATATTTCGTTTACGTTTTGTTTGTCCTTCAAGTCCAGATTTACATCCCACGTCTATCAGATATCAAAGATTGTTGTTATAGCAAATAGAAATTTTATCAGTATTTTTGCGAAATTTAACATGTTTTAACTTAACGTTTCAGACTTTTAAAGATTTTAGATAAAAAAGTTGTAATGTTTTGTGACTTTTTATAAATCTATAGCCATACTTTGCACTTGTAAATGTGTTGTTTTTTATATCAATACTCGTTTTCTTTTTTTTCACCAAATCTCACTTTAAAAAATTAGGGTAAGGGTTTTAGAAGTCCTCTAGGTTCACGGGTATTTGGCATGAGAGTATCGTAATTGAAATATTTTTTTTATTCTTAAATCGTACCGAAGTCATATTCTATAAGTCTGATTACAAACCTCCAAGAATGTTAATTTTTCCCGTGCATATGCACATCGCGTTTTTGAAATCCAATGTTTATCCAAAATGTGCGCAATGTTCATGCATGTTAACGTTGCACTCCAGTAATACATAATTACATTACTTGTCAATTCCACGTGAGTTAAGAGACAGAAAAAAATATATTTCCACAACGAAGCACATGTAATAACGAAGATGGCGAATTCATCCATATATTTAAATGAGGTGACTGATTACGTAGTAAACGTGACGTCAAAGTGTTACGTGCTTTGACTGACATTGTAGAAGGCAGACATTTCTCACATCATCTCGTTTTTTTTTCGCGATGCCTTTAACTGAAATTGAAATTCGTGTTAAGGTAAGAACACAGTTATTACTGTTATGAAATATATTTTTTATGATATGCAAAATATAATTTTACAGGTATAAAATATTTTTTTTATGATTTCAGCTTTTCCGTTTTGGAGATTTACATACGATAACACTTGTACTGTGCAGTTCCATATATTTGTATGTCCATCACGATCGTAACATAGACAGGACACACGTGGATATCTATGGCTATAAATTAGTAAAATCCTTGAATCCCAGTGACAAATAAACAGTAAAAACTAAACGACATGAAGGATTTTGAGAGTTGAATTTTCTGTACTTTTCAAAGACGAAAGACCGATCAAGGATCTAATAGGTGGAAATATTTGGAAAATATAAGCACAAACATATCAGGATTTTGATATATCTTTTAAAACGAAATTTTCAGAGTAAAGAAAGAATTTTAATACATAGTTCTAACATTATCTC